GTGGCACAAAGTCAGACTTAATTAAGAGCTGTGTACAGGCCCCAGGATGAGACTCAGAGGCAGTGTCAATACAAAGTGCACCACTGATATATATGAGGGTGGGGACAGTGGGATGGAGCACAGACACTAACCCAGTTTGCAGAGCTGGGGGCAGTCAGGATCCCTGGGAGACCGAGGCTGAGTGGAAACGTGAGTATGAGCAGGAGTCGGGCAAAGGGGAGGGGAGTGACAGCATTCTCGGCAGAAGGAAGTGTTTGCAAAGGCACAGATGGGAGTGACAGCAGGGTATGGTGAATGTCAGGAACTACACGCAGTGTGGAGCTGCAGGAGCTTAAACAGGAGGGTGAGGAATGGGAACTATGCTAGCTAGAGCAGGGGGATTCCACAGAGAAGGCCTTGGGCTTCGTCCCATGGGTGATGGAGAACCCAGGCAGATGTCAAGCAATGAAATGACACCATCAGATGGTGTTTCAGAAAGCTCTCTCTGGGGGCTGTGAGGAGAACGCGCTTGTCAGGAGAGATCAGAGTCAGGGAGATCAGGAAGAGCACCTCGCAGCCAGAGGAAAGATCAAGGTCAGCGGCAAAGAGAGAGGGCGGCTGAACAAAATACCAAGGAGAGGGCTGTCTGGATACGCGTGGCGACAGGAAGAGGAGATGCCAATGATATATAAGTTCTTACCGTGGGTAAAAAAGAGAGAACTGGGGTAAACTTTTTTTCCCCTTTTGGTAAGAGAGGAGAAATGTTAAGTTTTGGCACGTGGACTTTGCGGTGTACTTGGAATATACAAGTTGAAATGTCAGTCTAGTCTGAGGGAGAGAGGATGGTTTCAGTGTCGGCAGCACCATAAAGTCACGATGGGATGAGAAGACCCAGGTAGACGTGACAGTGAGGAGAGCTGTGGGCAGAGGAGGGGCTCCTGGGAAAGAGCAATAGTTCAGAGGATGACAGGAGATACAAAGACCGAAGAACAAGTCCCAGGGCCGGAGAATCAGACACCACAGAAGCCAAGGGCACAGAGTTCCCAGAAGCTGAGTGAGTCACCATCACCATCCAGTGTGGCAGACAGAGGTCCACGCAGCTGAGGAATAAACAGTGTCCACGTGACTTAACCATGAGGAGGCCGGAAGCATGCAAACTGGTTAGACTTTCTCGGTTTCAGACAACTGAGCCCACGCACGTTGCTTTAAGCACAAGGTATTTATTAGATGCATTAGACAGAGTACACAGTCTCCAGGGGGCCACAGACACAGGGCTGGAAGTCACTTCCCAGGAACAGCAGCTTGTCCTGTGTGTCCAGGACACACGCCCGCGCTCACGACAGGACTGCGACAGGACACACCCACTGCCACCTGGGACCAGGGCCAGGCTCCCGATGAGGACATGGCTCCGCCACTGCCTGCGAGAGCCACTCCCCCAAGGGCAGTAGCACGAGCTGATCCGCGCCACCTGATGGAACGCTTGCCGTCAGACCTCCGAGAGCGCACGGTCACATCCCCTACATCCCCCACAAATGTTCCTTCTGCGCAGCACAAAATGAAGATCGAGTCACAACGAGCAAGAATAATCTTTATTCTTGGGAAACACATTTGTAAAAACGTATCAATAAGATTAAAAGCTTCAGAACACATTTATTTGGACGCAGCACAGACACGGAGCATCAGGACATATGGAGCATCAGGAATATACTTGTAAACAAATGTCTTGGGGGGGAGTTTCTACAACACAGACCGCACTGTGCAGGGTGCGCCAGCCAATTCCCTCCTTCTGGAGAGGGTTTTGTGGTAACCAAAGAAAATTTTCAGATTTCAGCAATAAAATTCTCAAGGGATGTCAAGACATGCTGTTAAAGGCTTGAAATGGGCCGAATTTACAATGACATATATAAAAATGGCACGGGAACTGATTTCACAAAAATTCTAAGGAAAAACATCGCAGGCCTACCTATGAAGAGAAATGATGTTTGATTCGTGGCTTGAAATGGGGGAAAATAAATATACTGGTACTAGTTCTACCCTAAAAGACAACAAATTAATTTTCTGGTTCTAGCAAAAGACTGTGCAACACCCCTCCTATCCTCATCTACAGAATGCTTTGGCACAACGTTGTTAAAATCTTATGCCATATGTGTCTCAGATGGCATGTCGCGTCATAAAAGAGTGATGTCTGGGGTAAAAACCCAACCCTCAAGTTCTACAAATTCCGACAGCATCTCTATCCATAATCATGTCTTCTGCAATCATGCAAGTTAGCAGCACCAATCATTAAGACGTTAAAAAATTATTCTGGTTCTCGAGCAGCAAATCCTACCAAAATGGATGCTATGCAGCTTATGATTAGTCAAATCTCTAAAACTCCAAGTGGCTAAACTGTCCTCAGACCTGAAATTCAGAGTCTCCCTGCATGATATAACATCTATCCAGTCCGTACACTTCATTTAGCTTCTGGATGGGGTGGCCTCAGTTAGAGAAGTGGATGTTGCCATTTTCCTATGAGATCGTTTGCATGTTATAGCCTCAGCCTAGAAATACTATATTTCAATGGAATACTATATTTCACGGAATTTCAGAGTTGGAAAGGACCTTGACAATCGATTAGTCCAACCCAGTCTTTTCTGATGAGGAACATGAGGCCCAGAAGGGGCAATGGCTTGTCTAAGACCACACAATGGCAGAGGCTGGACCCCAGCCACCTCCATCCCCACCATATCACTAGTACTCTCTGCAGAGCTATCTTCCCACGTTTCCCTGGTTTTATTTGGTCCCACTCATTAAATAACAAAGAAATATCAGGTACATAGCAATACAATACACATAGACTTTTACTCCAATTTTAAAATCAGAACATCGACGTGATTCCTGAGTCTTTACCTACCTTCATTTTATTGAGAATGCAGCCAACAGTACGTTAGGACTAGCTATGGGGATTACTTTCCAATATTTACACGGGCATGGAAAACACCTTTCAGCACTATCCCTCAGACACCTTTACAAACGCAGCCACGCGACGCCCAGACACCTTTCATGGGATGGAATGCAACGGGGATGGAGCATGGAAGTGAGATGGCCGGTCCCTCAAAGCGCAGTCATGAGTTTATCGCGACACACCACACTCTGCACGCCTCCTAAGTTCTTCTGGTTCTGGTTGTGGACATAATCGAGATGGATGTCGTCTGCACTGGCCGGCGCTTTCCAACGCGGCCTGTCATCCTCAAAGGATGGCCTGTTGCGTTTGCAGAGTGAATGGTTAGTGGGGGGATGGAAGGAAACTCAGAAAAGAGTGAGACAACATGAGCACAAAGGGACTGGGCGGGGTAAACCACGAATGACAGGAACGGGAACGGCTTACAAGCGGAAATGGATGGATTTTCTGCTGCAGGTCATCTACCCGCTTCCAAGGGGAGAAAAGCTCTGTCTATGGCTGGGCCAGCATCCCTGCAAGGTCGGTCTGGGGAAGCCAGGTCAAGGTGGAAAAGGTGCCTTTGCTAGGGGACGTCTCAGGCTGTTATGTGCATGTGCCCTGTGAATGTCTTATGCAGCATTTGCCAAAAGTGTTGGAACAAATCTCTTTTCCTGGGGTAGGTATCTCAGACAGCGCCTCTTTAACTCGCTGGAGGGCCTGATAAAACACAAAATGCTGGGCCCCATCGGAGATTCTGATCCAGCAGGTGCGGGGGCCCGTGAATCTGCATTCACAAGCTCCCAGGCAGGCGGGCCACCGAGAGGAGCTTGGTACCAGCCTTCCTCAGAATTACCCTGTGGAATGCTGGGCGGGGTCATGCCTCCGAAGGAAACTAATGATACACTCAGCAGCAAGGAGTGTAAAATTCTGTCAAAACAAGGTTATTAAAAACAGCGTTTCTATAAACCTCTTCTGTTTCTCACGTCTGCAAAATAAACTGCCTTTGCAATCCAGAAACATCGAGAAGCATTACTCCACCAGTCTGACTTGCTTTGGAAGTTACACAAGTATCGCGTGTTTATGCTAAAACCGCACTGTTGTCCCACAGGGTCCCCCACAAACGTGGTCAGAACTGTCAAGAACCAGGTGCCCCCGCCTGCCCTGCTCTGACCAGACTTGGTCCCATCACTCCGTCCTCGGCGCTTTCTCGCAGAGCAAGGCTGCCTTGCCAAGAAATAACCGTGCGCACGGAACTCACCAGCCATGTTTCTAAGAGAGCTTCTTAAACAGAAACACCCATGAAAGCTGGTCTTAAAAGGAACGTTTGCCTTGACAAAGCTGGCAGGAAAACGCTCTCGAGCCTGACTACAGACACAAGGCAGGTGCCGGTGTAGTTGGGAAGGGTCGTGGTGGGTTAGGGCCGAGGGGAGCAGGCACAGCCCACTCGCCGCTTATTACCGTAAATAAGTTTTATTGGCGCACAGCCACACCCATGCACTTCCACACTGGCCGTAGCTGCTTTCCGGCTACAACGGCAGAGCTGGGCAGCTGTGACGGAGACCACAAAGCCGAAAGTACCGACTACCTGGCCCTTTATGGAAAAAAGGTCACTGACCCCTGAGTTTAGAAAAAAAGATCCGTTGCTACAAAAAAGGAAGCCCTCAATCCACCCCTGAAAAAACAGAAAAAAAAAAAAACAACAAAAAAAAACCTCTGTCCAAAAAATCCACAACAAAAATCTTCACGCTTTAGTCATATTTTTATAAATGAATTCTCAGGACAGGGAAATGTTACTTAGACATTTAAAGTAACATTTCTAACACAAAACCAAACTCAAAATTTCTGAGGTTAGAATGACTTAAAAAAAACAAAACAAAACAAAAACCCTGGCCCAATTCATTTTGGTGTCATAAAGCGTAACTTGAGCAAATCCAGAGTCTCGCTGGCTGCCTCTGCTCTGCTCAGGATTTATCTCGGCCGTGACAAGGCCACTCTTCACGGCGACTGCTGATGCAGAACTTTAACTCATGACTCAGTAGAAGCTGAACTTTTCAGAGAAAAGAACTCGTGTAGGGGCGGCTCTGTGAGCTCAGGCACTTACCTGACGTTTGGAGAGTGAGGGTGCCACCGTGGCTGGCTGGGGTGAATATTGGGATGATACTGAGGCTAGAAAGAAAACACCAAACGTGATTATTCGATGACCTTCTGATTTCAATGGTCTTCATTCACTTTCTCTTTTACTGGCATCCACCTAAGGGGCTGTGAATGGAAAGGCTATAACTGAACGCTGGCGGGGAGCCTGGGGGGTGGGGGGGACGTTTCTCAGGACGATCACATTTCCCCTGGACAAAGGCTGGGGCTGGGAAGCTGCCCGGGAAGAAAGGGGAAGGCATCGGCCTTGAAAGGGTCCCCCCCCGAGAGTGCCCAGGACAGGCCACAATCACCTCTCCCGAGAGAACAAGGGAACAGAGGAAGGTGCCAGAAAGACAGGGAGGATGGTCGGCAATGTTCAGAAACCCTTTCTGTCACTGCTGGAAATGACGGCAACCGTGGGTAACACCTACGTCTGCACGCACACAGACCAGGACGGGAAGGGGTACCATCGGCTGTGGGAACACGCCTTCTCCCTTGTTTGAGCAGTAAAAATAATTTTCTAAAGCATGACCCAAAATACCCCCCAAATCACCCAGAGCACTTATTATCGTGACAAAACGGAAGGGAGAAATTGGTCCACTTGAAGATGGGCACATAGATCCAGGCTGATGACCCACAAAATGACCCAGGGAAGAGGCTGGCTGGGGCTGGCTGGGTGGCAGGTGCCCATCCACGTCTGGCCTGCAGAGGGCAGCGGTCCCAGACGTAGCCAGAAGCCAGGGTGCTTCTCAAGGCTAAACTTTCTACCTGGCAAATTAGGCCCGCCTGACATTTAAGCCACTCCAGTCTTGCCACCATCACTCTTTTAATTATTTCCTCCCCTTCGTCTCCCTTCCCTGCTGCTCTGGTTAATAAGCAGAAGGCTACTCTCTGTTATGGAAAATTCTCAGCAATTCTGTTTTCCCAGACCCCAGATGCCCTCCCTGCTGCCTGTTCTGTATTCCAGAGGCCTCTCTCTTTCCAAGACGCCTGTCAGCAAGCTAAGTCTGCAGCCCCCGATAGGACGTGCTGCAGGAAGATGGATCTGGAGGAGATCCCTCCGCAGCAGAATGTGAGGGCCGACCAGGGCTTTAGAATCTCCCCGATGCACTCTCTTCACGTTGCCCTCTGAGGGGATACAGAACCCCAGAGAGTTGAGAAGATTTGCCCAAAGCCCAACTGTTCTGGCCCCAAGTGAGGCTCCAGCAATGGGGTCCTCAAGAAAAAAGAGTAACAGATTAGAAACGGCCCTCCTATTCCCTCTCTTCAAACACAACCGCATCAGATTCCTGGGAGACGGGGTGGGCACCGTATCCACAAGGACCCAGAAGAAGGATACTCCAGACCCTTCCTTGGTGTCCTCTGGCAACTTACTCACAAGCTGCCCAGGAGTATTTTTTTTAATGTTAACCCAGAAGGTTTTCAATCGGGGCAGTTATGTTCCCCGGGGACAACTGGAAATATCTATGTGCATTTTTGCTTGTCAAAACCACAGGGGGGTTACCTTTAACGATTGGGCAGAGAAGAGGGAAACTAAACATCCTGTAACTCTAGGGACAGTCCCAAACAAGGAAGAACCGTCCCGCCCCAAATGCCAGGAGCGTCCTCACCGGGAACACAGCAATCCATCCTCCGCAGTTGGCTAGCCTTGCTGAGCTCAGAATAAGACACGCTGCAATCCCATCCCATCCTCCTGAAACCCTTTCTCAGCACTCAGATGCTTATCGGGCCACTTCTCAGGATGTTCTCTTCCCGGTCCATTGACTCCCGATCCTTGACAGAGCAACGCAGAACCTCTGAGAGTAGCAAGGCACAGAGGTCCAGTGGTTGCCAAAAATGTTGAGAACAACAATGCGAAGGAAACAGATTTTGTAGATCTGATTGCAACAAACAATCGCCTCGCCGTGCACTGTGAGCAGAGCGTGCAGGGCGCACTCACCCACGAGGCTTGTGGGGAAGACGGCCGGGGCAGCGCTGAGCTAGGACGGCTTTGCTTCATTTACTTTTTCATGTCACTCACACAGTAATCCCCAACAACTCTCCCTTCCCCCACAACATCCCAGCCACTCACACCCGAAAATCCCTCAAAAACAAACAAAAAAACAATCTGAATAAGAAGATTCAAGAACCGAAAGAAGGCCAGGAGATCAGGAAACCGGGCCCTTCCCCTGGCAGATCGAAGTCCCTTTCAGGTGTTATTCCCTAAACCTGGAAGTCACGGGCAGGCTCTGCACAGCGGGAAGATGACTTCAGGTACAGAAGACAATACTACAAATTTCTTCTGGAGCATAATGTGGAGCCCTCGTAAAGATAATGTACCTGGGGACCCACCCCCACCTGAGGAATTAGTATCTAGGAACAGAAGATCAAGAATGAGACTAGTTAGAACGAGGCTCCAATGTGGACTCATGATAAAGTCGCTTTGTTCCTGTGACATGCAAAACCAGATTGGTGACAGGGCCCCTTAGACATTCACAACGCCCAGGACAAGAAAGCTGATCCCAAGTTGGGAGTTCATCAGACGTGGATGCTGCCTCTTATAGGCAAATGACAATGGAGGAAGTGAGGGCACCTCGCCCACCAGGGTTCCCCAGCTGGCCGCTCGTGACAACCACCTCTGGAGCTCTGACGCTCTCTCATACCCAGACTCCTGATTCAGTCCCCGCAGGGGGAGGCCCCAGCCCCGGTCATTGGTTTGAAGCTTGCCAGACGGTGGGGCAGGGCTGGGAACCACTGGTGCTGGTGACCTCCAGTGAAGAGGGCCAGAGAGGCTCTGGGAAGGAGATGGCTTCTGAGGCGGGCTCTCTCCAGACAGGAGGCAAAGGAATTCCAGGGAGACGAGTATGGTCCAAGGCATGGCGGGAAGAAATTAGGGGGCAACGATGATGTAATTCTCTGAGAACTGA